GACATTACAGACAGACATTACATCAACGTTGGTTGCGCCGGTGGGCTGGTGTGAGAGCAATAGAAAGTAAATAGGTGCATCGGCCCCTAACCGAGATGAAACACCTAGTAGGTCAAAGGTCATCCCACCCAGAGCCTTGGAGGCTCATTTCCTGGGAGAGGTCACAAAAACAGGCAGTTGTGTGCTATCCAGCAGTAAACGATTGTTTCAGTAAATTGACAGGCTCCCTTTAGTGCTCTTCTGTCAAACAGACTCTGACTACCTGAGGCCTTGGCTTATCCCTGGGTGATTCCAGCACGTAAACATAGAAGCCGCAGAGAGAATCTGAGAGCTATTTAGTTGTTAAAGAAGTCTGTAATACTGTATTTTGTATATATATATAAAAAAAAATCTGCATTTATGAAACAAACATAGGAATAAAACACAGTAGTAAACACTTGTGGATGTAAGAAAAATGATTTTACATTTTCCCAACATTGGAGATCAGCCTCTGTAGAATGTAACCGGTAACTGATTGCACCAGTATTTGACTTTAGGCCGGGTCGCACCGGTAACATCCCACTTTTTAATTTTGGATACAATTTTTTCCCACGCCACACTGAAGGCAGTGCGTAGAGAGGCTCCGACTACACAGGGTGATGTGAGCAAGTTTTGTTTCCATATCTGTCTCTGTTCCCCACAGGTTGAAACAATAACCCCATTTACACTAACCCTCTGAAAAACAATCCAGGCCGAGTTCAGACCGACTATCCCAAGCTCGGTTCCTTACGACCATTTACACATCGCCTCCTAGTGATGATCTACGGTACTACTGCTCTCATGACCAGACTGCTGCGCAAAACAGATAGAGGATTTTAACTGGCCTAAATTCAAGTTGTAATAGGAACTACATACTGTATAAGGAAAAGGAAAAAAAGTAGGAATAAAGGCTATGGCATGGTTTATATAGGTACTGGATGAGGCATTCAGAGGTTATTCTGAGAGCTTTCTGCAATGTTTGCCAATTTTATTTTCGTTTTTTTTTTTTTTAAGAGGGTAGAGTGATAGGCTGCACCTACCTTAACTCTCTGCCCCTCATTTTTTGATCATGCTGAAGATCAGTATTTTGCTTTACCCTTTGTCTGTCCTCCTGAACTCACTATTATAGGTTACCTTGACAATCTTCCCTGTATGCTATATTCTGAATATTTGTTGCACGACTCCAAAACTGGCTGTTTATTTTGTATTTTCCCGCAAAGTGGACGACTTTTCCTGTCAGACCCATGAAATTGCAGCTGAATTGTAGCTCCAACTAAAAGAGACGTGGGGTCAATTTCAGTCAGAGCTTCACAAGACCCCTTGCAGTTTGTATTCAACTCCATTAATTTTCAATAAGCGCCAAAAGGCACATTCCCGTACAAAGCTTTTGTCAGATCGGACACAAAATCTGATTCAGTGTGTTCAGGGCTTAATTAGTTGCATTGCTGTTCTATGAAGGTATGGCAAAGAAAATAATCCCCAACAAACAGCATCATGAAGACCGCAGAACACAGCAAACAAGGTTTGGAGACATTTGGAGCACTGCTTCCTTAGAAATAGTAATCCGAGCCTCACAAGGAACATGGAACAATCTTATCTAGCAAGTCGTGTGAGGAAAGAGTTTATCAGAGTAAGCAGCCAAGAGGCCCATGGGAAAATAACGGAGGAGAGAAAACAAGAATGGCACAATGTAAAAAGCATGTAGGCCTACCTTTTAAGGTCTGCCGAAATCATTACATGGAACATAAGAAACATGGAAGAGAACGCTCTGTCAGATGAGATGAAAATTTTACTTTTTGCAAAACACAATGTGTGGCAGAAAATTAACAATGCATATTACCCTGGGAAAAAAACAAATTTTGATTTTCTTTTTTTTTTAAATTACAAAAAACTTGAAATACCAATAATTCCTTGACATAGTTGCAGTGTGACAAAATATAAGAGAAATCTATTTTTATAAATACATATGCAGCATGCTTTACATGCTGACATTTCAAAGTAAAAATCTACACAAAGTACATCCAAAAATATTTAATAAAACTTGGGTTTCAATTACAGTTATTTTCTTGCTTGCTTGCTGCAAATGTTAATTGTAGGAACATCTGACAGTTCCAAACAAATGGCCAGCCTTTTATAAAACCATTTTATATCTAAAGCCCCACTAGTTTTGCAGGAATCCAGCTTACTTGTTTTTTTTTTGTTGCAGCTTTTTTCTTCTGCGGTGCCTTAAAGTCCTCAGAGTAAAACCCAGAGTAAATTGACAGATTGTAAAGAGAGGAGAAAACTGCACCACAATGAAAAACTACACAGGGATGACCACCTAAATACTTAAGAAAAAGGGGAAAATGTTTTACCACACTGAGTTTCTTTTATAGATGCTCACAAATCAATGCATGCGCTATTTCAATGGTTGGCATTTTGACATTGCCCTCATTTCTCTTAAACAGCTCTGCCAATATCAGCTAGCCATTCTTCATATCCGGATTTTGACCTTCACCTCCTGCTGGGCCTTTGCAGGGGGAAACAAATCTAGAAAAACTGCCTTGAAACAGCAACAGACAGATTTGCTTTAATAGCTTCATTCATAGGGTTTCATCCTTTAAATAACTGTGGGCAAGTGATTAAAAAGATGTATAGAGAGACTTGTGCTGTGGCTGAGTAGCCCAACAGTAAAACTCATGCCAGAGCTGTCTGTTGAGACCTATGTGATTCGTATCCAGACCCCAGCCTGCCTTGGTTAATATATTTCTTTTAGAAACTATAACCAAAAGCTTTCCCTTACAGAGGAACTTAAATAACACCAAGTAATTCTTCAGAATGCCTGGCATCTTGCATGGGTATCGTTTCTCTTCTAATATTTGATCTATTCTAAAGTATTGTGGCTCACTCCCCACTACAAACAAGTTTTTTCAAGGATAAAACATTTCACTTGTACTTCTCAGTTGCTATTTATTGCAATTCATATTAGGGATGTCAGTCAAACTTTATACTGTCTGAAATTAAAAAGATTTAGACTAACATTCATTGATATAGGTTTCGGCTGTTCAAGAAAACCTGCATTTTGCTCTTTCAAAGCAGTTTTTTAAGCCACCACATCAGGACTATGGTATTAGTTTCTCCTTGATCATTAGAAAATGCATTTTGAGAATCTTATTTGCAAAATAATATATCTGTAAAATAAAATAGAAAACAAAAGAAATACTCGGTAAAAGTTCTGCATTTTAATTTGTCAATTGTTTATACTGTAAATTAATTAGTTGATTAAGATCTGGTTTCCTAACCAAAACGTTTTAACCCTCCTATCTTACCAGCGATCTTACTGCAATTCTTCCATTAAGGGGTTTCAGATCCACAGAATGTTTTTTTTTTCTTTTAGCATCCCAAAGGTAATCTCTAGTCTGCATCCATGGCCAGATTACTGCATAGATTTTCTGTTAAATACAATTTTTATCGCTGACTAAGCTGTTCCGAAACTTAAATTTTCAATTTAATGGGTTTGAACTTTTGTAGACATCTGCTTTGAGTCAAATTGATTTGAAAGAACCAGTGATATCATTTGCTGTTTAATCCTAAGTGAATTTAGAACCATTTCTGATTATTATTTTCTTTTTCTTGCCTTTTTTTAAGGTGTATGATGTTTTGGGTTGATGCCCTCTATAAGAAAGTAGACTACATCAACCCGGTTCTGAAGTTCTTCCACTGGCTCCCTGTAGCTCAGAGAAGAGACTTAAAAATCCTTCAGTGATTCTTTGAACCACTGAATGGATCAGCACCTCAATCCATAAAAGATTTGCTGCCAGTGTATCAACCTCCCAGAACTCTCATGTCTTCTAGTTACAGTCCATTCTGTCCACACAGAACTAGAACCAAACATGGAGAAGCAGCATTTAGTTCCTATGCTCCACTTACCTGGAACAAACTCCCAGAAGCCTGTAAAAGTGCTGAAAGCCTGAGTTCTTTGAAGTCAAAGTTAAAAACCAATTTGTTTAGAGCTGTCTTTGATTGTTGAACCTAAACTGTTAACTGAGGTGTTATTAGTTTATGGTTGTGATCCAATTGTTTTATTTGCTTTACTACCTGCTTGTGCCATGTTTTTCTCTTTACTTGCCTTTAATCTGCTTTTACTTCCCCTCTATTTTACTGTTTAATTCATGTAAAACACATTAAAACGTCTTTTTACTGAACTGTACGTTACAAATAAATTTGCCTTGCCTTTGTGCCACATGCCTTTAGGTAGAAATTTGATTGTAATGCAACTCTCACTCTTTTTTTCAGCCACTAAAGGCTGTTTTTGTGCTATAGTATATAAATTGAATGCTGAATATGTATTGAATATATATTATACAATTTTCTTGAATGTTATATCCACTGTTATATTCACTGTATACATGTTTGTACAGCAGTTGAACAAAACAAAATCATCTCTTAAAAATTGACTTAAACAAGGCTGTCTATTATGCAGCAGTGCCATGGAGTCAGTGGGAATCGCTATATTGACAAGAATGGCTTCTATTTGAAACAGTTAGCCCTCCACTCAACCTCATATTCCACTCTCATATTATCTTGAAACCATACTTTAAGCTAGTTATATAACACCATTAAAGAATATGGAGATATAGTTAAAGCCAAAGAGCCCTGATGTTAATCTACCTATTTAATCTTTAGTTTCTTAGTTTTTTTTCTGTGGTTTGGCAAATCTACATCCTTTGTCACAAGACACTGTGATTATCATCTATTAAAACCTTGAAGTTTTTGTTTTTTTCTCTATTAAATTATCATTTAAAGCTTTTTTTTTTATAAAAGTCACATAGCGCAGCTCAGCACACACACAAGAGAACTTGTTTTGTTTTAACAGCAATTGCTGTTCTCTGCAGAGGCATGCTCAAAAGTCCCTGTTAAAACCCCCAGCTGTTCCAAAACTGTTAGTTTTATTACATCCAGACAAAGAACAGATGTACACTGTCCCTCCCATCCCTGCTTACCTCTCCTCGGTGGCCCACATAGATAAAGGCACACATGGGCATGAAGGCACCTGTACCACAAGCCAATAGGTGAGTACGATTGTACGGCTGCAGAAGGCGAACAAAGTTGGCACACTCCGTCTGCAAAAATAAATCCACAAAGACTAATTAAAACTTTTTTATACCTATAAAGTCAGCATGACATCAAGAGATCTGAATGAAAAAAGCCTTTAGGTGCCTAATAATATGCTGAATATGTACTGAATGTCAACAGGACACCTGTGCCCATGATTAAGGATGAAAGAACAGACACATCAAGGTTTAAAAAGGAACAGAAATACACAAAATCATAGTAATTTTGATTTTCATCATCATTATATAGCGCTTTAGAAGACCTGCAGCTGAAAACAAATTGCTAATTGCACGTCTGTGACTCCCATTTTAGCAGATTTAATGTAAAAGTTTCCTTAAAAGTGTTCATATCTTTAGCGGGTAGGCTAATATATATAAAGAAAATACTCCGGCCAGGTCCTTTTCAAAAGAACCTGAGAAACAAAATCGAATCTTTATGCTAGAGCAAACATGTCGACCCTTCTACATAAAATAAGACCCACTGACAGCAGACTAAATGTGAAAATATTGTTAGCAGAGGATACGACTTTAAAAGAGAATAAGTTATAGAAAATGGAAGAGGACTCAGATGAAATGTTCTTAAAACAAATCAGCAGAGAAGAGCAAACACAACAGATGTGGTGCCTGAGGACACAAGTATCATGATATTTTCACAAGGATTCAGAGGAGGTGGGGGCAGGACCTCTCTATTTATCCTATCTGTAAAAAAAGCAACTGACCAAAGTTTTGTCTGCCCAGAAGAATCAAATTGCTGGTTTTCTTTAACTGTAGTTAAGAAGCTCATACCTCATTTTTAACACAATTACTGTTAACAATGTGTTGTCTGTGTGTGGTCCAAAATACTCTTAATTCAGTGGTTAAAAATCAGTTTAAAGGAGAAACACGATAAATTTGTCTTCCTCATACCAGAAATGATTGAATAGAAGTAAAAGCAGATTGATTTTGAGTGCTTGAAGAGTAACTTCGAAATATGACTTATTACAATAATATTTTATTATACATTTTTAATTTTTTCATCAAAGTAAAATAATTAATACAGTAAACAAATAACAAATTGTAATACAGGTTATTTACTATCATGAAATGTTTTGTTAGGAAGATGTTCCTTGACACTGAGAAAAAAACAGATGGAAGAAAATGAGAAAATTTAATCTCGGATGGAAGCATAAATGAGATAATATATACTGTAAGTAATATATACCAGAGATTACTGCTTTTCTTACTTTATAATTATCTAAATGTTAGCTGTGAACATCTCTATGTGTGCATGAGTTGACCTTGTGTGTTTCCACTGGTGTTCCTTGTGTGTGGGTGGTGTTACCCTCAGAAAGCTGCTGTTGTCATTTCCTTAACAGTTTTAGAAATACTGGAGATAGATATGACCCATGCTACAATGTGATGAGTTTAAATTAAAGTGGTGTGTCATCCTATGTTACCTGTTTTAACACCAATCAAAAAAAGTCATAGAAAATATAGATATTTTTTAGATTAGAATAGGAAATTCTGACATATCATAGGAAAAAATGCTAATTAAAATAGACTTGTGTTTGTGAGAATAGATTTGTTATGGTTCTCATTTGTTGTGACTCTGAGTTTTCTGTTATCAGTTGTTTTGTTTTTATTTTCCATAATATTCTAGCATTCTTTAGTTACTCTCTGTTGCCCCCTTGTGATATCTTTCCCCTTGGATTCCCTCTTGCCAGTTCCACCCACACCTGCCCCTCATTCAGCTCGTTAGTCCATCCTTTGTTTTGTTCTCCTTAAATACTCCACTTCTGCAGTCACTCAGTGCTGGTTCCTTCTCTATGCTGTACTCATCTACTCAGCTCATCTGCCCGTGGCTCCTCAGGCTCGTTTTTCCCCTTGATGTCTCCATGGTTTTGGTTTGTTTTATATTTTAAGTTGGATTTTTGGATTTCTGCCTCTGCTACAGTACCTTGGGTCTGCAATTAAACCTCTCAGAACTCATCTCTGCTTCACTCGTCTCTGCATCTGGGTCCTCGAGCAACCTCACCACCCACTGTTGACAAGATTGAGTTGTACTGCCCACATCTTTAAAGCCAGTTTAATGCTGGTGACAAACGTATTAACATCAGTTGATGGGTTGAGATGCTGATGATGTAACCTGGATTTTAGAACAAATTTCCATTTTAAAGTATACAACAAAATAACTCAAGAATAACTTATATGCTCCAGAGTAAAAGTAGAACACTAAATTCTTATTTCTCTTCTAGTTTGAGGAATAATATAGGTGTTACTATGCTTGGTTTATTTCCAAGCATAGTACCTCCACCCCGACACTGAAGACCTCTGCTTCAACATGATTTATCAACAAATAAAGAGGTGTTGATGTCGTGCAAAATTATCCACCCATTTAGGATTCAGCAGAACACTAATTTCTACACTATTGATTCCAGTATACATATAAACTATCTCAATGGTAGCACATTATCAGCAAAACCAAATGTCTACATAATTCTCTCTTGTTTAAATGCATGTAAATCATTTGCTTCATTTTTTTGTTTTTCGTGACAGCAAACCTCTAATGGTATCACTCCACTCTAAAAAAACATGTTGGCCAATCACAGAGCCCCTCAACATACAAAAATCCAGTGGAGACAATAATGATATGGAAGATGTCACCTCATTCACCAATTTTAGGGTTTAATTCAAGGTCGATCTCTAACCAAACTGAAGGGATTCTATTTAACCATATACTATATTTAGAAATGTGACTTTTATTTTGTTTCATAACAGTGTGTCTGAGAATTACATTGTAAATGGATTAATATTAACTGCTACTTTAACTTGTTTGTCAATTAATTAATTAGTGCTTTATTTATTATTTCTTCATTAACCAAACCAGACACCGGGAAGGTTGAATGTGTTAGATTTGCTCTTTTTATTTAATTGTTTTTAGCTTTTTTTTTGTCAATTGAAAAATGCTGGATTTAGAAATACTTGTACTTTTGGAAATACTGTGTTAGGTTAGGGGTCTGAATTATCTTTGGAGTACATGTAAAAACTGGTTTTAACAATTCACACTGCAGCCAGGAAGATTAAAATGTAAAATATGTATTTTTTTTGTTGAGTTTTATTAAATGTCAAAAAAAGCTGAGTCACCAAAAAAAGCAAACACTGTGTTTTTCAACAGGATGAACGATGTCCAGCTGAGCTGAGTCAACCCACCATGTGTAAATCTGCCTTATGTTCTGCGAGAGCTTTGTCCTCGAGTTCTTAGGTACCTTTGAGACCAAGGTGTTGAATGAAAGTTGAAAAGCTAAAATATGTCTCCAGCCTTCTAGTCTGGGATTTAGAGTGTTACCATTCTGTGTGGTCTTTTAGAGATGGGGTGGCAGCAAAGGAAGTGTGGTTCAGCAAAAAACGAAGTGGTTTGATTACTAAAACTCTTAGGGAGAAGTTTTCTTGCCAGAATTGAAAATTACAGCATAAATAGCCGATGAAAACAAAAGCCCACAATGTTCTTAGTGTTTAGCTCTGGTTATTAGGAAAGATTGGCTGACCACAAATATTCCCGCACAGAAATATACGCAAACGGTAACATTGTTTATGTTGCCCACAAAAACCCTTCAGTGTGTCCTGACCAGAACAATTTTACATGTTAAATATTGTTTTATGCATTTTTACAGCCTCATTCATTAACATAAATAAATAGGATCAGTGCCATGCTGTCAAAGCGGTTCTCCATGTCTCTACAATTTACACTGCTTAGAGTAATTCTATTGTCAATATTGTAAATTAATTACCACATAAAACAGAAAGAATTGTTTCCAGCAGTCATTCAAAAGTTTAGCCACACTTGAACATACAACGGAAAAGTTCATCGCCTCTTTTCAAAGAAACAGTAAAGCAATCTGGGTTTGATTTTTTATTGTTATTTTTTTAAACGGTAATTTCTGCTTACTATTTAACAAGGGATATATATATCATTACGTTCCCTTCACCGTATGGAGGTTAATAGAAAACCGCACGTTGAGGGAAAATCTGCCATTTCCTTCAATGTGTAGAAGCTTGACTGACACCAACACTAAAAGAGTATTACAAAACTAATGCTGAAGAAAGGAAAACTACAAAAGTATGAATTCATGACTCCTGTATTAAACTAAGCTACATTTGACAGGCATGTGCATATAGAATCTAAAAAGTTAAAAGACTGCTTTGGAAAATGTACAAATTACTAAAATGTTCAGCTTGTGAACTGAGGTGTAGTGTGATAACATAACACTAGACATGTTAGGTCAGTCTTCCTGCTATTCTTTACCAGTTTTGTTTTAGAAACGTGTGACACATATGTGACTAAATAAAACCACTAAGACCAATAAACAATTGTATAATTCTGAAAATGTAATAATTTCCTTTAGATTATTTATAGATACAATTCCCATAAATATCAGGTCCCACAGTTAGTCATACACAAACCAATTATATAATATGATTTATACTCTATTAAAAGTGGTCCACTCCCTTTGTAATTCAATATTTTTTTTTATTCTGTTGTTCATTAAAAGATCATTATCTTCCTAAGGAGGCTCAACAGATTGCATTGATTTAATGTCTTATTCTGAGCCATGGGCAACCATGTGTTTATTTATTATAAGAAAAATAAATTTATAATGTTGTGTATAGATATATATACATGTTATGTTGAGCTCTAAGCCACAACATGGTGACATTTTTAATCACCTCTTGGAACTAAAATGTACTTTTGCCGTCATTAATTAAATACTTAGTTTTAGGACTTGGCATGTACAACATAACACTAAACTAACACCAATGACAGCTTAAGTACTGAGACATGATGTATGAACAGTAAACTAGCTGGGGCAAAGCAAGTTTTTGACAGAGGGTACTTTGGTCTATAAACAATTCTAAGTAGGAAAGAAATGTAGATTCCTAATGTTAACAAAAAGCGTAAAACAAATTAAAAGTTGCATAAAAGCAACATATGTATGGGTAAGAGACCTGAACGGCTTCACAGCTGGAAGAACTGGACCATCCAGTTGTTTGGTTTCTACAGCTGCTAAAAGTGAAATGAGCCAGTTCACATTTCCAGTAAGAAGGATGGTTATTCTGTATATAATGAGATCATTTTCTTAATACCCACAATTACCCCTATCATATTTATGAAAACATGCTAATTTTAACATAAAAAAATTATTCATGAACTTTTACTATTAATGCTGAGGATAAATAGTGTAATAATGTGAACAGCTCATGAAAAATCTCATTTACAGACCATTTTTAGTATTATAGATTGTATAGATACAGACTCTGTAATTTGAACAACTTACATTCAACAGTTGTATTGCATTTGCATCTATATACACAATCACCAAAAAACACCTATGCAGCAGTAACATCGCCCTATTTGTTGGTATAAAACTACCTGGGCTTTGCAAATGGTTTTTCTCACTGATGAACACACGGACATGTTTTTCCTACATTTTTGGCATAATGATAATTCTAACTGACATTGACAGCTTGCCAAGGAATCCCTTAATGTTTTCAAACTTAATGGAACTTTTCTGGTAAAATAAAAGGTTAAATAGAAATTTAAAAAGCCCATCACCAGAGCATACTATGCATGTGTGGGGAGGTTGAAGCCTCTGTAAAGCATATGGTGAATAGGCTTGTGGGAAACACACAAATTCCATTGGTATACAGTCTTATTTATTTTTTTATTATTTTTCACAGGAAATATTTTTAAATAACTTATCACCAATATTTAACTATTAAATATTTAAAAAGAGAAAATGTACTTAATATACTTTCCCTTCTCCAGTGAAGTCAAACCAGTCTTTGAACACACGATTGGCAAAGAGGGAGCAAACCTCAAATACAACCAAACAGCTCTTTTGTTCTTAGGCTTTATCATTGAACCTGTTGGATACTTACAGCTATACTGTTATCATGCCAAAAATGTGGCATAGAAAATGGGGTATCTAAAAATATACCTTTGATAAGATTAAGAATTTCTACAAATTTCTGTCATTAATGTCCTGCCATACATATGTATTACAAAGTTGTGTAGAGGCAATACACTGCATAGCATTACATGTCTCATTTTCTCTGCTAGAAAGAGGAATAGCAGCCTGACTTATATTTAGTCAGCTTTCAAGAGTAACATACAAACCGATGAAGCGGAAAACAATAACAGAGAGAACAAGGTAGAACAAGTTAAAGTGAAGTCACCAAATTCTTTCACTCTTCCTCTGCCTGGTATTTATTTGCCTCAGCAATGATTAATGGCTGAGGCAGCTGTGAGGTTTTCACTTAGATACAAACTGCATTTTCTTGCTTTTTTCCATAAAAGACTTTTCTTAATAAGACACATGGCACAGCTGTAATCTAAGGAATACATTTTAACATAAATGCCCTATTACCATTAAAAGTCAAGTGTTTTCTAATTTCAGTGCCATTTAAGTCTATAAATATCTTATCACATCATCAAGCCTATGTACACACAAACACACATGTATGTTAAACAGAACAAGGTGAAAACCTTTCACCTTTCAACTCTGCCTGTCTTAGACATGCACAGCAAACAGATGGGCCATAACACATGCAGACCTGCGTGAGGTTGTCAGTGTTACGGGTGTGAGATCCTTTCACTCAGTTTAAAACCAAACAACTGACAGAAAACGGCATTTCTGAGGGAAAGCAGTAGGGCATCAATATGCACAGCCTTTTGACTTCCCTTCCACAAGTTAGATAAAGCACTGCAGGCGCTAAAATCCTTCAATGTGTCGTCCCTCCTCTGCTTCTGCACATCTTCCTCCAAATGATTCCTATGAGCATCATTTAGGAGACACTCAATAAAACTGCTATATGATACCCCAGACACACCTGCCACTTCAAACACATACAATATATCTTATATGTAAATCCCAGAGAACACCAAAGGCTAACTTGTTCCAGATGCAGTACCCTGTCAACCTTTTTGGTGTTTTCTGAACTATGTTTCCAAAGTGACAGTAAAATAACCTCAGGATTCTTTTGTCAAAACCCTTTTTTTTGGTCTAGTTTCACGAGTTAAAGAAGATCTAATTTTTCCATTCCTTTTATTATATGTTCCTCATTTCATAGTTAAATTGCTTCATTTAGTGTTTAACTGAACAGTGGGCACAAAGAACTGTACCTCTATCCAAATGTTATCGAGTTCAGCATCAGTCATGCCAGAGGGCAATATTTAGGATCCTTTATCTGGACCCTGGCCAATACAAGATTTTAATAGAGTGATTCTATTTCAAAGATCATCTTATGTGTTTGGTAGTTCATTATTAGAATGTGAATTATTGTTCTTTATTAGTGGATTATTGAAGAACATGGGTGGTCTTTGAACAACTTCACTTTGTTAAATCAAAAAAGTGGAGATAACTTTCAAAAAAACAACACAGACATCTTTGTTCTCAAAATTTCATTTTCGATGTCTAATCTGGATGTATCATTAACCCCCTTTTACTCATTGACACTGGCCAGATTTAATACATTAAAACAGTGAACCATGACTAGGTACAAACATCGAAACATAAATGAAATGTAGGAAAATAACTGGTTATTGTCTTTTTAATGCACTGAGAACTACTTACAGTATCAATGCCACCAATTAATAGTTTACATTTCTTTTTGGAAACAAAATAAAAAGCAAATGTTTAAACCTTTAACAATTGACAATGCATTCTCGAGTTACTTGAAGAAACCGGAAAACTGCATACAATGGAAAACCAAAGATCAGCTGATAAGCTTTCAGAATGCTTTCTCGATTTTACAAGCTTTTTTAAAGTATAGTTGCTCCTTTAGAGGGGAGTTTAGAGGTTGGATCACTTAGGCTAGAAAAATCAGAGAAACCGTTGTATTGCTTTTGACAGTTATGCAAAGAAAGAGTCCATTATTTGGAAGACAGATAGATTATAAAGGGAGACACAAGGACTCAGTAGGAAACAAGAAACACTATTTAAAAATTGTGCAAAAGGATTTACAATTAACAGATATAAATAATGAACTAAATAAAAGAATATCTACATTTTATTGCATTCCAAAATAAACATGATAGTTTCTGTTGGTCTTTCACATAAAATCCCCATAAAAAGCATTTAAGCATTGTAACATGATCAAATATATAAGCTTTAAGTTTATCTATAATTTTATAAGCTGTAATATTTTGAAAAACTTGTTAAAAAATATGTATAGATCTCTTATATGCTCACCTGTTCCTTCCCTGTTTGAATACAGTCTTCTCTGTTTCCTGGTAATGGAGGCCAGTAGATCTGTGAAGGAAGACAAACAAAGACAGAAGAGAGAATATAAGAAAAAAAGGGACTAATGCAGCTTAACAAGACAAACACTTATTCAGCCTTAGTGTCATTAGATATCAGCCACAATCCATAAAGTTTACATCAGATACATTAGTAGCAATTTAAAGCATATTATAAATAACAGATATTTAATCAACAAAAAGCAAATCCTACAATGGAAAAGCTAAAATTCTAAACATGGTATTTCTATCTTTAGCCATGGTTAACCCTAAAATATTTTTTGAAAATGCCTTAAAAAAGACTTTTTGGGCTTGAAACTCTGTTATTTCAGAGGAAGCAATTAAGGTTTTCATAGGCTTATTATATTCTGTTCCTTTTTTACACCTATCTTAGGGTTCTTAAGAACATTAAGACTGTTGATCTTAAGTCCAGTTACAGTTTTTCTGTTGAAGTATATCAATGTGCCTGAGTCTGTGAAAAAGTCTGAAGTCCACTTTTTCTTTGCAAAGATATCACTGACAGAAATGAATTAAACTTTTTAGACGAGTTCCCACTGCAAAGGTCCAAGATTGTCTGTCAAAGGGCAAGAATGAGTAAATCTGTTGGATCAGTAAGCGTGCAATGAAAACTGTACCCCAGACCATGAGACTAGTTTTTCCACTGCTTTCTGTACGCTATATGAATTCCTGCTGTTTCTGAAAAAGGAAGTCCAAGCCTGCCTCTGTTGAACTTCAGTGATGTTGGTTAAACTGTTGCTTTGTGCTGCCTTCTAAAGACAATAAGCATTTTTCTGGTCCAGTAGGAAACTGTCTTTGTTTTGGCTAGCTGAGATGAAAGCAACTAAAAAACAAATGATCCAGACTTGCATCAGTTTGACTCACTGAGTTCAGAATGTGCATGGAGAACATGTGCATGTGTTTAGGGCCCATGCTGCAGCTATATAGACAGAGTGAGGATGAATCAGAAGCAGTAAAGTGCCTTGTTGGCTTTAAAGCTGAACCACATTCCCTCCTTGTACCAATCAGATGGACTTCATGTCAGCAGTAAAAACCTGTGAGGCACACTGTATATCATCTAACATAAACTTCGAAATCATAAAAATCCTCCTGGTTGGCTTTTGCAGATAAGATAGCTTGAAAAAAAGCCACAAAAAATTATATAAACCTGCGTCTGATTTCGTACTTTGTCTCATAAACATTAATTATTTGACAATTGAAAAGAAGTAACAGTATTAACCTAATCAATTTAACAACAGAATTTTTAAGTCTTAACAAATTTTCTTTTTTTGTCTCCATTTCATTGATTTTAGATGAAATAGACTACCCATTAAGCCCAGGCCAACTGGTGGCTCCTTAATCAACTACAAGGATAATATCCAGTGCAAAAAGTTGCTCATCAATTTTGCCAGAAAAGATACAAGAGCTGGTATGTCATCACTTATCAAATAATAAAGAAAGCTTTCAAAGTTAGGGGGCGGTTATCTAACACCTGATTGGTCACCCTGCACATTAAGGCGAAGCAAATCGATTACAGAGACTGTGATCCACAGGTTGTGAACATACTCTGATACAGTAGGTGGCAACTCGATTCGCGTTAACCCCGCCCCCTAACTTTGATGGGTGAGTTTGACAGATTCTTTTAATGGTTTCGATGCACTGCGACACAGGACCATGAAATAATTAAATGCACACTGAAATAATTATATATATATTTTTTTTATAAAATGAATACGTATTTTATTAAATTAATGACACATTTATATATTTAATTCCTTATTTTTTTAATGAATTACACATTTAATTAATTGTTTATCGCTGTATTTATTTATTTAATTGTGGCACTTTATATTAGTGACGTGGTTTTAATTAATGAATGACACATTTATTTATTTAATTCCACATTTAATTAATTATTGACTCATTTAATTATTTATTTAATGCTGTATTTACTTATTTAATTTTGGCACTTTTTATCCTCCATGGGGGGGTGTCTTAAGAGAATTGACTTATAAATTACACTTTACTTTGGAATAATGTCATGATTTTGGCGTGGATGGCTGGCTTGATTGCCCACTTCATTTACCTGTGTAGCTCTGCACTGTTTCTTATCACTGCTCATCTGATCCACCTGCTCCTCCTTCTATTTAAACTCCCTGGTCCCAGCCATCAGTGCCAGAATATTATTGAGCCCTGGGTGTTGAGAGTTCTCCAGCATTTCTATAGCGTTCCGATAGCCTGATCCAGATCCATTTCTGTATTTGGACCTTTGAGCCAACCTGCCCCTGTCAGATCTGTTTGCCTGGCCTGTCTTAGGACTCCTGTTGGATTCTTCTGTGGACTGAACCTGGATCTGCCTCTTGACTTTGCCCTGTGGATGATCCTGCCTTCCTTCGTCTGCTCGGGGCCCTGATCTCCTGTCAGGTCTGCAGCCTTCTAGACGTCCACATCTGGAACTCTTTGCCAACATCCACTGTGTCTAATCAGCCGACCGGCTGGAATCATCCTTGTTCTTTAGGCACGGACTGTCAAACCAGGTTAGTGACTCACGCGTTCATAATCATCCTCCATCAGATTATCGTAGTCTTTAACCTATGTTCAGATCCGTTCAGTCACTATTTTGAGTAAACGCTTTTTAAGTAATTTAAGTCTTGTCTAAATTCTGCATCCTACTTTCTGAGACATTATAGTTAAAGTTTAATCAAAAAAATATTAAAAAAAAATAAATCATAATGGAAAACCCAACAGGCCTCCGGGTGTTGGTTCAGGTAAAAGCTTCACATGTCCAGTAATTCATTATTTCCTAGAGCCTGAGTATTTCTGAACTTTATCACAGCTGTTTGAACTGTCTCCTGGGGTTTAAAATGCAGTCTAAAGCAGTATAGATAGAAATAGATACTTTTGGAAAGTTGAATGAGATGGAAAAAAAAAAAAAGATCAAAGCAAGGAACGGTATTATGAGTTCCAAACCAAATTTAATATAAACAGAAAGTCTTATCTAAATCTCACCAGCCTATAACCATACCAACCTTAAAACAAGGCCAATTTTAAAATTATCAGTAAGATCCTGAAATTAGGTTCTATTGGCTGTACAGGTCTCATCCAGAAGGCTCCTGTTACTGTAATCCAAAATATTGCTGCATGAGCCCTGACCAACACAGAATTTCAAAATCTTGTTGATCGTCTGCAAAATGGTTTTGGTTTTGATCCATTTCAGCATAACTTGGCCGGTCTGAACCACAAAGATCCCCCATTGCAGACTTCTTATTCAGTATTCCTAAGAAGAAAAAAAAACTAAAAAAGAGGGGTAGCATTTATTTCTATATATATTACATATATTTAATATATATGTAATATATTATATACATATATTTCTATATTCTATATATATTATTTATCTCTCTCCCTCTCTCTCTCTCTATACATGTATATATATATATATATATATATATATATATATATATATATATATATATATAAACAATACTTTATATATTTATTTATATATATATATAAACAATACTTTATGATCTAAGAAAATGGGGGGAAAAAAACATTTTTCAGCAAATACATTCTGCTACTCAATGTCTGTATTGAAAATTGAAAATTTTTTAATTCGTAATCATATTAGAGAAAATGAAATATGATTGTGGTTGGTCTTTTTTTTTTAAGACAGCCTCATCTTTTTACTTAATGATGCCATGACTTCTTAGACATCTGATCTGCTGATTTTCTTCCAGTCATGAAGAGCCTTCAGAAACAATAATGTGAAATGTGAACTAAGCTGAAATTAAGTCAAAAATGAGGTGTCATCCAAATGGGTCAAATCTCTAAAGATCTGTATTGAGTATGATGCTGAATAATTCATAGAATTGTCTGTCTTGATGGCTCACTATAAACTCTGAGTTGGCACATTTTACTTAGACTAATATACTGTTAAAATCCACCCTACGCCTATTAAGGTCCCAGGGACCTAACTACGTGTGTTGCAATTTTCCATCCATTGTCTACATTTCTCAGTTTGCACGAAATAGGAAGTACAGCCAAACTTCCACCTGCTGTTGATGTCATTCATCAAACTGTCCCTGTGGCTCCAAAACACACTGTTTGATTTCTAATCTTTCTTTAAACTTTCAAAGATAATCCTTTTAATCTACTGACGTCTTTCCTGGATGGGAGACAAACAAGTCACGAAAACAAACTGTCCTTTCACTTTAATCTTTAGCTGTAAATAAATTATTGTAAAAAAACATCAGTAGATTCAGAAACTTATAATACTCAATACTTTATTATTCTTAGTTCACAGCCATGAGAATTGCCAGAGGTTTGATGAACTCCATATTAAATTTAAGCATAAACTTTATCACATAAAAGGCATAAATAATGTTTTTTTTTTTTTTTTGTTTGTTTTATCTTGCAAAAGTTGGAACAAAAGTACACAACATTTGGCTTTGTGTATTAAGGCTATAATGAACAAATGTGCAACAGCGGGAAGATTCAGTTCGGTTAAAAAATTGCACTGTATGACCAACACCATCAAAACTCATTTAAAGAACAAGATACGTGCCCTCCAAGGAGATATTTTCACTTTCATCACACCCTCCGTTTTTATAAACACATCAGTTCTAACACTGTATTCCTTTCATGCTAAAAGGATTCCTGTTGGGTTCAGCAACGTTAAGTGAGCCAGAACACATGCCATCACCAGAGTCACCAAGGTAGATGAGCTCCCCCTGTTCAGTACATGTAACCAAACACTTGGCAAAATAAACATGTGGTCTGAATGTGAAGAAACATATAAGACATCTGTGACAGCTAATCCTAATTAAAAGCCAGGAAAGCAACAATGAACACTTTAGTTTTACTACAATATCCAAAGATATTATATATCAAATACCCTTGTGTATATGTTTTACTGTGAAGAAAGTGAACTCTGTAACATAAACATTTCCATTAAGGTTTCTGACTTATTCTACTTTTCTAGTAAATGATACCAAGATCATTTCTAGACTTTAAGTAGTGAATCATGCATAAGCTTTTTCTGCTTTTTGTACATTTGTCAGTACTGATATTAGGAGTTTAATTTGTTTTTTTTTTATCTCTTTTGTTTTTTCTATGTGTTTGGAGCTTCAGAAACCACATAAGGTTGCCATTGAGAGATGGTGCTACAGGTCTTGCTTCAGATGGTGGAGCCAGCAGGTGTGTTACTGAATACCTGCAAATCATCAGCAGTATAAGAGGTGCTGGATACTTTACTATTTTTGCCATTCTGGGGTTACCTCAATAAAGCTCATTCTGGATCCTCCATCTGTACTAAACTTGATTTTCTTGTTTAATTTCCAAACCTACAGTACCTGCTCCTCTTCCCCATCCACAACCTCCTCTGAACCTGACCTGTCCACCCTGCAACATACCATATCTTTATCACTCCGCTGTCTAATGGAAATTGCTCCATGTCTCCATGTATACTGTCCTCCTGCTGTGAAATCATCTAGTTCTTCTTTTAAGGTTTAAGTACATCTTTTAAGGTTCTATATCATGCTTTTTAAGACTTTTTAAAGTCAACCACAGTGTAGACATCTATGTGATGAAATATTGCATTTGGCACTATGGATTATGTATTTGTTATGAAGGGTTGTTTATTATTGGGTGTTTTCTGGTGCTTTTTTCCAACCCTGACAAAAGAACCAGTGTCTTAGCTGTAATGCCAGCTCTCCCCTTATGAGTATCACCCATCTCATCATGTTGCCTAAGACCCACTACTATATCAGTGTTGCGCCACTTCACGTGATTAAGCTCCTCTTTAAGAAAGCTGAAAAAAGTCAGACTCAGCTGGAAAATGAATTCATGCGACTTAGACATTAGCTTAAAAAGAGCAGTAGCTGTCACTGTGCAGATTAGGTGGTAAAAAATCCACTTCATCACAACTATGAGTAGATATTATCTGTAATGTGAGGTGCTTTGCCTTGCAGATTGGAAAAACTGTTGTTGCTTACTGGGCAGGTGAGGCGTGATAAATATATGTGCTTCCTGGAGGGGATAGATTACTGTTGTACACTGAGCTGTGATTGCTGTTTTATGTAAGACAGTTCTCTCACTTTCCCAAGACAGGCAGAGCAGAATTCAGGATGATTACCTGGACATGCAGAAATCAATCAGAAATATCCTTTCTGGCAGGATTTTGGTGAAATGATATCATTGTTGCAGAGTTAGAAGCTCCAGAAGTCGATTTTGAAATATAACTTGAAAAAATTCTCTTGTCTCCCGAGAGTGTTCATACATAAGGGTCAGAAAGCTAGAAATTTAACATGTAACTTGCTTTGTAGAAAGACCAGGTCTGAGCTTCTAAGATACTCTTGCAGAGAATCACAAGCAGCCTGTCAGGTTCCATTCATTTTAATGTGTTTGGATTGCTACAGACGTCATACAACTCACTTTTTTGAACTGATACATAAACAGATCCAATGTGTTCTAGCCTTGGCTCTAAAACAAACATAAGTATTTGCCGTTATCGGAGAATTCCCTCTAAAAGGAGTCTGAGAGATGAATTAGAGGGCAGACAGCCTTTAGGACTAACCTAATGACGTCTTCTTTAGATACAAATAATGTAATATGTAATAAGTATTTCAAATAAAACTTTTTCTCTCTCTTTTCTGTCTTTAACAAAAGATCTGCTTTAAAGTTTATATTTCATGTGTTTTAATTTTTAAAATTTTTAACTGAAATGATTTATGAGAAGGTCCATCTTTACAGATTTTCTGTATTTAGAAAGATACAAATGTTTTGGCTAAAAAAAAGAGACAGCGAATTTGACATTAAATTGAGTAGAAAGCAACTCTTCACAGACCAAAACCAACTAAAGTACAGGTAGTATAGGTTGATACTAAAGGAGGGATTGGTGGACATTTCTAAATGTATTTAATAAATCTGCTATTCTGTCATCCTTTTCTGTTTGCTGAAATATGATCTTTAAATGACTTGTGCTTAATATTTTCCACATTTCACCCATGATGCAAGAGCACTGATATAAAATGATACGTCTACTCACGTTTGACCCCGACTCCCTATTTATGCATGATTTATAGCAGAGTACACTTAAACAGATGTTCTGTATAGATGAAGAATACTGGAAAAAAATCTAAACCCACAGTGCCTCATTAGTAATATATCATCATTCTTCAGATTGGGACCAGTTGCAGAATGACTGGAAGTTGTATAAATATGCGACTTAATGTGTAGTGAAAGTATACAATACAATGTACAGCACTAATTGCAGCAGAAAACTTGCTTTGGATAAAAATACTTTCAACACTAACTGTTTATCAAAACGTACCTCTTTGGATTCAGTGCTGATGGGACTCAGTAGGAGAGAGTAAAGGACATCTTTACCCCCCAGGAAGAGCCGATCTCGGTACTCATCAAGAAAGACAGCGCTGAGAGACAGTTGGCCATCATGGCCACTGAAGAGGGAGGACCTGTTGGTGGACAGCAGGTCTGCAGAAAGAATAAAGCACAAACGGTTAACGGCAATTAAAGCAGCATGCTTTGTTTTGCTATTGTTGACATTGACAAACAGACACATTTAATCACAAACGTTTTTCTCTTGAAATAAATTCTCCTTTTATGTTCTCCTCACAGTATTTGGACACAAGCAGGCTCTCAGCATTTGCAGGGAAACATGGATGCAATTATCTAAATAATTAGTTCAGCATATAATGCATTTAGTTTGAGGTTAAGAAGTTAAATATCAAGCTCTAAAATAATTTCCATATGCTCAATTCATATGAGCTCCTATCTTATGGGTTTCCTTGGGTTTTATTAAATGTCTGCCAATTTTTTTAATCTGCCTAAATATCTACAATGGGGATTTGTTTTGACACTAAACATACAGCTACTATGGTTATTTACTCAAACCCAGCAGGTCAATTGTGATATTATAGGGATTGCTTCTGTTGAACTATACAAATGACACACTTAGTGTCACTAAACCAGGATCCCTTTACCACAAATCTATTTGTTTTACATTAATGCCTTCCATCTGTGTAGAATACAAATAACCAAATAATCTTCCAGTTCTTAGGGCATTAACAAACCAGTAATCTATTTGGTCAAACCAGTCTGGAGGAAAGCTAAAACAAACAGGCCTCTGACATTCAATATGGTCTTATCTACAGTACACACTAATAAACAATAAGAGGAAAATTTTCCCTCTAAAAAGCATTTAGAGTGGCTCTTTTTTTATTCCTTAATGATCAAGCATTTTAGTCAAACATGCTATTGTTTCTTGTTTTATCCGACTTTCTGTCCAACTAATAAAGTGAGAAAGCGATATACAGACAAGGCTATTTAATTTCTGTTGAAATGAAACAGAAATGACTGACGCTTGATATGTGGTTTCCAATGTTACTTAGTAAATCTAAATACATTTTGAGTGGTACAGCGACCCTAATGACTAACAGGTTTATAGAGAGCAGATGAGAAAAAAAATCTAACACCAAAACCAAGCACAAACTCTCTCTTTAGTCACACTTATACCCACAGTAAATGTAACAGTAGCTATTAATTCAGCATTTCCACTATTGTTTAATCTAAACTTCACAAAAGGAAACATTACTAGGTCTAATTTAAGGTAAAATATTTTGTTTGCTACCTTGTGTGTTTGCAAATGACATCTCTTTAGTTTCTTCCTAGAAAATGCTAAAGGAATACAGGACACAAAAATCAGCATCTGAATTAGAGAATTGCTTCAGCATAGTGAGGCACAAGGATCATCAACTATCAGTGAAATTTACTTGATCGTAACTCATCCTCAGTTTCTTCACAGTTAAGGTCAGAAGGGAAAACTCAAATCTAATGAAGTCTATAGGGAGGTTAAACTAGCCTGTACCACCTTAAGTCACACTGTGAAAGTTTCCTTTTAGTGAAGACATGAGGCAAAAACCTAGAGGAGAAAAATATTCAACATACACATTTTTAATGACAAATAAAGTAGATGTGAAATTGAAAGAAAAAACTGTCATGTGTGCAATTAAAAGTATGAAGACAACATATTTTCTTTAAGAAGCAGTTCAGGAGTCAAAAGGTTGACTTTACAGCTCTGCAGTTGTGGTAAAGTTGACATGACTTTAAGTTCAGATAGACGCAGGGGTCTTCTCTTATCATCTAACAACCACTGCTTGACACAAGCTTATCCTGCTTCTACTCTTTAAGTTGACTCTTTCTTTATCTGTCAACATGAAGATGTGGGCAAAAAAAAAAAAAAAATCTTGTGACAAAATGTCATCTAACTGTCAAAGCCCCGCTGATGTAGATGGGGGTCAGAATCACCTTTCTGTTCATCCCTCATCACTTATCTGTCACACTCCCTCTCTTTCAACCCAATACACCCTTGCTAACACACTCATGCAAACACAAGGATGGTGAAAATGGGGCTTGAGTCACTCTGCACTTGGTGAGCCGTATTGAAAGAGTGAAGCTGGAAGACCCCGTCACACCTTGTCCATCACTGTGGCTTTACAGACAAACACTGGATCTGTTTTTATAAGAGATCTCACTTTCTCACACTCATGAGCTTCCAAACGGGGCCAGAAATGTCCCACTTGGGCAGCAAGATAATATTATTTCATTTATTTGTTTCCCGTCAATTTGCTTGTTTTAGAACCATTCATTTATTGTATTAGCGACCTACTGTGTACCTCTCAACAAAAAGCCTCACATGGGATTGTCTTCAGCCACTGCCAGATATCAGGAGGAAAATGCTGGTATACAGGGCCTTGTAAAAGCAAACCAAGCACAAAGAGGGAGGGAAATTGTGTTTGGCCAAATTTTCTTTGTTGTATTTCTGCATGGCAACGAATCTATTACAGCTATAAAGACTGTTTATTTTCCTTGAAATGAGGCCGCATTTGTGAGAAAAACGTATTTAACTGTAGAGTGGCAGAGCCGAGTATATGTGCCACTCCCAAGAAAACATTACCAGTCTCCCCCAGTGCCAAACGGCTTTCTCTGCCATTAATTCTTGCTTTTTTCATTTATTGCATTGGAAGAAGTTTGAAGACACACATTTTTTTTTGGCATTCAACAGTTTATTAATTTTACCAACAGGGATGGAAAATTGCACCGAATAACCAGGCACAACCAAGACAGCCTGAAGCCTCCTTCTAAGCCCAGTCCCACACTGTTTGGGGATGGCATCTCATTAATTTGTCAAAAAGCATTAGACACAAAGTATTAGGTTGTATTCGTCTGTCTATTCACAGCATAGTTACCTTGATCTAAATCTTTAATGTGTTTTAGATCATGACTGCAGACAGGCTGCTGCGTCCTCTAACCTCTTAGCTTCTAGTGGTAATCTCTGATAAACTGTTCTGTTGGGGCAACCATTAACATATCAAGGATTGAAGATCAGTTTTAGGATATAGAGGTATTGCCACTAAAGAATAAAACTTTAAATCACTCAACAAGGGGATTGCTTCTTATAATAACAATCCCTGTTTTCTTAGGCAGGAAGAGACCATCCAACACCATCATGCTCCCTTAGCCAAAAGCTGCTTGGTATTGGGAGACATATTATGCCAAGATTTTCAGCTGTCCGCATACCGAACTCTAATGTTAAAACCATCAATGCCAAGGATCACTGATACAACAAAGAAATTATTGTGAAAAAGCATTTTTCTTTTTATTTGAACCTTGAACTTTTTAAGAAACTGTAACATTACAGCCACTTTCTTGTATTTCAATAGTTTTATTTAAGACTCCAAAACAGTACAACCATGTTGTTAAGTGAAAGTAAGCAAATACATTTTTATATGTGATTCTAATGTAAAGAGATGTGAGAAACTTTAGGAATTATAAATAGTTTTGAAATCAGTGTAACTGTTCAAAAATGAGATGGTTTAAATCTCTTATGTTGAAAAAAAATAAAATATGGTTTTAGGTAGACAGTACACCTGGAATTTTGTAAAAAATGTACCATATTATATAATAGATCATATAGAAAAATAGCAGATTAGCTTATAAAACCTCCTCATTAACCATAACAAAGAGCTTACTGCAGTGTTGTGAAAAAAAATTTTTAGTATTTAAAAACATATAAGCTGTTTCTCTGATACATTTCCCTCAAACCATTAAATTAAAGACCACTATGATTCAGAAACATTGGTAAAAAATATATATATATATATATATATATATATATATATATATATATATATATATATATATATATATAGTCTTATGTAATGCTTCAAAACCGTGAGGCGTTATAATTATTTCTACAAAAACACCGTTATTAGTCAACAGTGGGAGGAAGACTTCAGAGGTAGAACATTAAAGCTTGTGGCGACACAATAATGAGGGAAAAGGAAGCAGGGAGGCAACAGGGATTTTCACAGTGGGGAGAAAAATAAGTTAAAGCAAGAACAGGAAAGTTAGAAAGAAAAGGAAGGAAATGTGGTCATTAGATGCAGCAGAGTCAGAAAATAATGAGCTGAGAGAAGATAAAGAAGAATCCAGAAAAGACCGCAGTGTAAAAGATTCATCACAAAACATCGACCACATGTCATCGTGCTTTACCTCAGATGATGAAAATGTGTTTCTGACATTGATTTTATTTTAAACAGCGCTTGTAGTGCTTATATTCTTATATTGTATCACATAAAGAGTAATGTTATAGGCTGCTCAGTGGGGCAGTGGATAGCACTGGGTTCTCTCTGGGTACTCCGACTTCCTCCCACAGTCCAAAAACATGACTGTTAGGTTAATTGGCTTCTCTAAATTCTCCTTAGGTGTGAGAGTGTGTGTGAATGGTTGTTTGTCCTGTTTGTCTCTGTGTTGGCCTGCGATGGACTGGCGACCTGTCCGCATGAAGCTGGACACTAGCATCCCTTACAACCCCGTCTGGGATAAGCGTGACGGAAATGGATGATATTAATTATAGGAATACATTTGCTAACATATTGTTAAAAAATTACCGTGTACTTTCATAATACCAATCTTTGTTTATGTCCAAGTATCAAGATAAGACTTCAGAGTACTTTTACAGACTAATGGAAAATCGTAAAAGTGTCTGGAGTGATCATACACAAAGGGACCACATAGAAAAGAGGATAATTTATAGGACACAGCATAAAGTTTAGTATTTTACGACATGAAGACAGTATTTCCGTTGGCAGTTTAATGACTTGGATCCATAATCTTTCTCTGTTCTTGGGAAATATATACGATTACCTCAGATATAGCAACATTTTCCATCTATCTTTGTGCTGGCTATTTTGGATCGCTACTCAGCAGCTTATGTTATCTGAAATGCTTTCCTGTAGCAGACTTTTTAATGTAATGCAATAACTCAAATGTTAGTTTTAAGAAACCTATAGTAAAAAAATAACTCAGTTTATCTGCCAAGTGCTAATACTTATTAGTTTTCTTTTTTGCACATTTTAAAAAGAGTCAATACTGCAAAAACAATCTAGAAATAAGTCAGCATTTCTTAAATC